AACGCGAAGAACCCCGGTCACATAAGCCCTGAGGTAGAATTATGCCATTCAAAATTAGAACCAATGTACTACCTATCTGTTGATAAATGCAAGATTCAAGTCGCCTCACTCGCAGAACAATCAGCACAGTCTGAAATCTGAGGATCATCAACAATGCGTTCATTGTAGCCCTTGAACTCCTGATCTTTTTTCAAGCAACCATTTCGTGGAACTTATGACAGCTTTACAGGGCCTTCGGAGTTGACGCAGACCTAATCGGATGAGCTCGCTGGGTGGCTCAGGTATATTCTGATATGCCAACGTACTCTGCACTCGACTTCTTCCACTCGAGCTAGTGATAGCAGCAAATGCCACTGAAAATTTAACTTGATCGCAGAGAGATGCTTCAGGGCATAAAAGGGGGTTTCCCGTAGAACTGAAGTATTCATCTCTTGGTGGGTTGAGGGGAAGAGTGATCGCAGCAAGCGATTTGTAACGAGAGGAGACAAGAGCCTTTCTGCGTGTGTTCACTGGAAATATGACAACTGCATATGATTTCATAATCGGGCCTGGCTTCTCTTTGAACCACTGCCATTGGTTTCCTGTCTTCAGTTTGCAACTTTACACAAGGTTTGGTGCTAGGTTATCGGGCCGACGTGACTATCAATAACTCAAGTGAGTACGCTTGGCAAAATTTGTCACTGTCAAAACCAGCCCACCGGGAGTGTCGTGCAGTCGTGACAGTTGTGGCAAGTTCCGCGAAATGTTCAAGCCCACCAGGGTCTGCGGGTCGAATCAACTTGACAACTAGAATAGCCTCACAATGGCACATGCTGCCAAGTCCTAGCCTCGCGCGATGTAATGAAAGAAGCCCGTCGTGATGTTCCCAAGGTTAAGAACAACCATCAATCGTCAACCCCGACCTACCTAGAGAGGAGGCATCGAGAGAAGTCATCCGTCCTCAACAGCAGACTTGCTCAGATGATTAGTGAGCCGATAGGTCAAGTGTATCATCATTGCTGCCACCAAAAAACATAATTGAGGTTTGGCGTTACCTAATAGAGGGACTTGGTCTGCGAAAACAAAGGGGCTTGTGGGGTCATCGAGCATGAATGATGCAGAAGACCGAACCTTGAACTTGTTAATATGCATTTGCCTCTGGACTACTGCAGGAACCGGTAGCGTAAATTGATTCTCAAAAGATCTGGTGAAGCCTGGTCGGACCATACGTTCATTGATACACTGCACCGAAGAAAAAGGAGAGAAACTAGCAATGGTACCTGACCAGAATTGCCAAAAATATAGATAGCGTGGTGGCTTGCCATGCAACTACGATGAATCTGGTCTAGCTTCGGTCAACATCAACACAGCTGGACAAGCTACCTTACTCGATGAAAGGAACCAGCTGCTATTGTAGCAGCTTCCACAGACCATTGAATCCGAGTCGTCATCCCGATTTCCGAGGGCTTCTGTTGCACGGTCGCTGACGCGTGTTCATCACTGGGACGACGACGGCCCGTCGAGCATCAAAGCCACAAGAAGACCCCGACTCTTGGCTTCGCTGGGCGCCATCGGCAGCCAGCTCGCCGTGCACGCTGACATGCTTGGCACGGATGCCAATACCTCGGATTCTGCACAAACAATGTTTACTTGCTGTCACTTAACGCGGGCAAACAACGAACATGGGCCTTCACGTTGCGGCCGCAAGCCCAACATATGACCCTAAAGCTCAGCAACGCGCATAGATAGGCGGCTGCAAAAAGCCGTTTTAGGATTTGGAGGGTAGTTTATCGCCTTGACCGGTCAGAGTTACACGGAGTCTCATCGTCGAGAAGTGGATGTGTGCATAATCGTATCTGCACCGTTTAGGTAGAGCAGGCGAGACTCACAAGTGACTCCACCCTCTCTCGCGGTTGATCTGATGATTCCCACCTTTGCACTCAGTCGGCCATTCTCCTCATAGAACCTCAGCTCACCTGAAAGATGCTAATTGATGCAGCGTCTGTCTAACGGCTAGCTAATGGGGTCATATCATGCTCGGTCGACCTAGACTAAGTCTAGCTTACAGGAACAAGGATCAAAGCGCTACAGGAGATCCCGAGTTACCCGCTCTGGCGTTTTCAGGACGAATTGGGACAAAGCCATCCATTTAGAGCCGCTTCACAGTTGGTTCGATCAATGAATCAGGGATAGGGCAACAAAGGAAAAGTTTCCAGATCCCAATAGAGCAACTCTTGAAACATTCCACTTTCTTTGTGGGATCGACATACCCGCTGCCCCAGACTGCCGTTACTCGCGAATCGCGAACGCAGTAAGCGGGACGGTGCTTCAGGAGAGTGACGATGTGGACCTCACTTACACTGGCCTTTCTCGACTCCGGTCAGGTTGCCGACACTATGGATTGGACTGCACAGAGATCGGTCTCACCGTTCACTAAGAGCTCTGACCTCTAGGAACCTGAACTACGGATACGATGGACCACACTTCTGGGAGGTGCTCAGAGCTTGTACGAGGCGCCAGTCGGCCAACGGGTGCCGCAATACGCTCCAAAGAAGAAATGTCAGCTCAATGTGATCTAAACCCGCGATGTCAAAATACGCCGCCACATATGGCCGCAACAACGGTATATAACCAGCACTCTTCTCCAGGTTCATGTTGTTGTTCTCTCTTCATCCCAGCAGCTTCGATCACTTCTCACCTTGAGCATCACATTCTCTTCTGAGCCAGAGTATCTCCTTCAACAACATTCATTCAAAGTTTCTGCTTCCAGCTCAACGCGAGCCTCGTATCATCAACATGCGTTACTCCTTGAACATCATCGCCCTCGCGGCTCTCGCGTCGGCCGCGCCCACCACCGCGCCCATGGACTTCGATGCCATCATCGGTGCCGCTGCACCCACCCTGACTGGACCTCCTGCCCTGGCCACTGGCCAGACTGGCGTCTACGACGCGGCTGCTGCATCTTCATCCGCCGCCGCCGCTGTCACCGGTGTCGCTTCTGCCAGTGCCACTCAGTCCGTCGCGGCTCGTGGCCTCGACAAGCGCACTTTCTGCTTCTTTGGCTTCTGCTGGGGATCTCCCTCCACCACTTCGTCCGCCAAGACTACTTCGATCTGCACTACTTCCACCACTCCCGCTGCCGTGACCACTCCCAAGACTACCGCTCCTGTCACAACTTCGGCCGTGACCACTGCCACTGCCGCCACCATCACCACGGCTCCTACCGCGCCTTCGACCTGCACCCCGGTCAGCTGGACCAACACCTTCGCGTTCACCACTGCTTCTGGGTGCGCTGAGCCTTTCGAGGTCGGCACTTACTGCGGATTCATCAACCCCGAGGACCCTTGCGCTGTCCAGCCCGATGGATACGGCACTCAGGTTCAGCCTGACACCGTCGAGGCTTTCCAGTCTTTCGCCCAGTTCCACAAGGAGGCTCAGTCGGCCGCCAACCCTTCCGGATACGCCAACACCTTCAAGGACCTGAGCGCCGCCGTCAACGCCAACAGCTACCTCGGCCTCTACACCCTCAAGAGCTACGACGTCGCCGCCTGCGCTGCCAAGTGTGACGCCACCAACCTGTGCACCGGTATCAACATCTATGTTGAGCGTGACCCCTCCATCAACCCCTCCGGCTGCTCTTGCACCAACCCTGCCTCCATCTCCAACTACAAGTGCACTCTCTGGGGCTCCGGCGTCGACAAGGCTGCTGCTGTCAACACTGGCCAGACTCGTGATGGCTTCCAGGTCGTGATCACCGGCTCCAACGGCTACGAGAAGACCAACACCACCACTCCCACCACTCCCTCTGGCTGGACCAACCCCCAGGGCTGCGGTGGTGTCGTCCACTCTCACCCCAGCACCTGCATGGGACAGAAGTTCTTCCCCGGTCCCTTCGATGCCAGCCTCTGCGCTACCTACGCCGCTGCCCAGAACGTCCAGAACTCCAAGTCTGTCGGCCTCGGCTCCTGGGCCAGCTTCCTCGGCTACAGCCCTCTGAAGTGCAACTTCTTCAACGCCTTCATGGTCAAGCAAAACGGTATCGCTAAGGGTACCTACTGCAGTCTCTTCACTCAGCAGTACAACCCTTCTGCTGCTTCTTACACTCCTTCTTTCTCCGCTGGCTTCTCCTGGAGCATTGAGAGCTCCTGGTCCTTCTGCTCCAAATAAGCGGGGTTTCCGACAGGTTCGCCTGTTATTCGCTCATTAATCTAGAATATGGTGTCGATTGTAGACTTTGCATAGTCCGAATTGTTGGTCACTACGTCCCTTGATACTGTACATTTAAAGATCATGGCAACTAGAGTGGGGGATTTCTATCACATATTTAATTTAATTAACCTTCGTTCTGCAAATCTGTCTCACTCTTGTCCGCAATGTGCCACTAGCTTTGGGGACAAGCAAGACTCACCAGCAAAAGCCTGTTCGATCTCTCACATCAGAGTGAACTCATTCTAGGCACCAAACTCAAAGCAGTATGTGTACGAGTCTCTTAGCACGACACTTAAATACGTAGATAAAGGCACATCACGCTCTGGTGATATAAAAGGGAGAGTAGAGCCCCCTACCTTCAACAAAAAGTGTCTCGAGTGTCACACGATGCGGGGTTCATTGAAGCAGATCGACATGCAAGTTTCTTGACAATCAGTTTTATATGCACCCTATCTAGTGTGGCCGGCAAACCGATTGCAATCAACACTTCAATGTTGTCTTACCACGTAATACAGAATCCGTCGCGTAACGAAAGATCGTATCATAGAATCCGCAATGATACGTAACTCTCTTTGACGGAAATTGGAAGACCTTCCATTGAGCATGAGCAATCCTCGTGTACTCCCAGGTCTCATCGACCAGATTAATACTCGATGAGTATGTCCAAGACGAACACTTCCTGCAAAACTGCGAGAATTAAACCTTCCATCTTCTTCTATAGCATTTTGGCTCATTGCAGTCAATAAATTTGAGCTCTTGGTACGACTCAATACCAACCTGCCAATCCTGCTGACTTGGCCCCTGGGCCTGCCATGGCACTGCTGACGACATGGGTGAACACTCACCTTGAATTCACCCTCAATAATGTCGGAACCTTTATGCCCGTAGCCTTCATCATCAAAGAAGCCATTTCCGAGAAACCTATCGCGGAAATTTGGGTGACCGTGGTGACGGGAGCAGGAGGCGATCTCAAGGATGCTGGCGGCGTCTTTCCTGATGTTGCCATTTGGGACGACAATGGCAACAGAATAGGACGATACCGCACCAAGCTAGGTGACAAGAGAGCCCAGAGCAGCGAGCGAACCGTCAAGATACCGAATAATGAGAACAACGGGCAGATATCCGATCCCCAATATGTCATGTTGAGTCACGATACCGACGCAACATGCATTGCGATGGTCCAAGTTTCCAACGGCCAACTCAGTGGGACGGTCAATGCAGACACTGGATACAAATGCGACCAAGGATGGTACTACAGCCAACGGAAGTTCAAGTGTGATAACCTCATGACCAAGTGTGTATGGTTGGACTCAGATCACTCTCATCCCAACTTCAACGCCAGGGCTATGAGTTTTCACCTCAGAGACATGCTGCTTTCGCCTAACAAGTAGAGATTGTAAAATAGCGAGTTATGCTACCTGTGTAAAAGCACACCTCGGTACTCTTTTCGGCGGCATCTCATACCAGACGGCGTTTTCCCATTCTTCTACCCAGTCTTGAAGTACAACAAGGACACCGTCAATCCGAAACTAGAAGGCACAGATGAAAATTCTACCGAAGCCCTGGATCGCTTCAAGTACCATAAGCACGTATACAAACAGCAGGGTGAATCGGAAAGGGAGTATCGAATGAAGAGAACTCGTTCTACACGCTTGAGCAAGAGACAAGGCTCGGACATGGATCCTGACAACCAGGTCTTGACTGGAATACCGGGTCAGACGGCCCGGGGGGTCTGCGAACACCCTAACTCAGTCGGGTATGACATTGTCTCGTTTGTCGACAGAAAAAACTGCGATCTCACAAAAAGGAATCTCTACGATCTTTGTGCCGGTAGCGTCACGACTAATTGTTTCGACGTCAACAATACGACTGTCATTGGAGCTCAGGGTCTCACAGGGAGGAGCAGAAACACCTCCAAAAGGCAAATCGCAAAGCTTTACAAAACACGAGCTCACTGGAAATGAATGTTCGTACATGTCATTTTTGGTCTTTCCGTCAAATTGTGAAGCGTTGTGGGCATTCTTGGGTGATATGGGAAGATATGCGTTTATGTCTGATTCAAGAAGACATGGAGGTTAGAGATCACGCAAAATCATGTGCATGTAATAGGGGTACACTCCGGCAGCAGCTTTGGACTCGGAGCAAGTATACATGCCCGTCCTCCCGCTGTCTATCCGTTCCCACCTTCCTCTTCCGGCAATCAAGCCGGCACGGAGATCGAAACCCTCACGGCTCTCCCCAGCTCTCGGCTCTCGGGCCTCGCCTTGGCGGACGAGTTCCTCAAAGTATTGTACGTGACGAGCAGCATTGGTACCTGTTTGATATCAATGGCCCGCGATGATTGCTAAATAGTGACTGAACCGAAGGAAGAGGTAAAGCAAGGTAGCGAGTGTCCAACGAGATCGAACTAGGTATCACGAGTTTGCGGGCGGTGCAGTCAGTTGGCCTCTCTAGAACGCATAGTATCGTTCGAGGGCGAGTGAGTCGAGAGTTAACGAGCTTCATCGCAAGTGCATAAGCCAATTTTGGTGGTTGGATATTCTCTATATGCCGACAGTCATGAACGTAGTAATTCCCGCATGGTCTAAAATAAAGCAATTGGATTCGTTGAGTTGGCAGTCCGCTGCTGCGCCACGTCCCAATGTTCCATAACGCAAGTCCCGTTGAATCTGAAAACGTCCACCACGGCAAACGGCTGCCCTCCACCCACGAGATCCATGCGGTAGTGAATGAATGCGATGTTGTCTTGGAAGTTCTTGTTCATGATGGTGTAGTTGACCGTGTTCGGAGAGATAAAAGGCTCGAGGACGGCAAGAGAGTTCGCGCGGCCGGAGAGAGCGCCGGGGTTGTGTTGGATATAGTCTTCGGCGACGTGGTTCAGGAGGGCCTTGGTTGCGTTTCGTTCTTCGTAGAAGGCTTGCATAAATTCTCCGAGAATGACCTTTTGCTGTTCTGATGTTGCCGGACGAGGAGGGCAGTACGGCGCGGAGCCCTGACGCGGGGCGAGGGCACTTGTTGTCCAGGCGAGGGCGCTGACGCCGAGAGCGAGTAATGAAGATGTACGCATTGTGCTGTGTTTTTGTGTGTTGCGATCTTTTGACGTGTTTTGTTTTTCCGTGTGGTAGATGCGTAGAGCGATGTCTTCGAGGGCGTCGATCAGAATGATCTTATACACGAGGCGGACTGTAGAGGAAAGAAATGCCGATAATCAGATAGATTAAATGGCTCTTGGTAGGAGAAATAGCAGGTTGTAACACTGATAGGAGTTCATCCAAACTGCGCCATGTGCCTCAATGCTAAGAAACTCTATTACTATAGACCCTTGTTGATCCCTGCTCAATACCATTGGCCAGGACCAGAACTGGGAAGTCGCAGTTGGATTAGGGAATGACCAATGGTTGAGTGAGCGTTTTACTCATGACATCCTATTTGTAAAGCCGACGGGATTACTTGGATTTCGAATACTCAGTGTCATTCTGGTGCTGCCTCGAAGGAAACGATTATCTTGAGAGAACATCGACCCCTCAATCGCTCAGAACTCAGAATTGTGTTGCAATAGTGTCCGATCGTATACTTCAATCCTGCAAGATTGTCTATTCGAACGATCTGAAGTGCAACAGACGAAGCATGAGCTCGATTCTGGAAGCATTAAAGAATGGGGTCCCCTGGTGACGATCCTCAGCCCATCGGCACAGTGCCGAGCAAGGCCCGCGGTAGCGCATGGTTTCTAGGTTTCGGGAGTGGATACCGAGGCAGATGTTCCTGGACTAAGTCATCTATATCTTTCTTGACACCGGTTGACTAATCTGATGTGATGACAAAAAGTGCGGGAAACTGGCATCAAATTGATTCCGATAGGCGGTGTTCGCACCTATATCGAGACCGCAGAGAAATCCTACCTCACTAAAGGTACCCAGTAAACAAAGCTGCATGCATATGACACTAAGACGGCCCAAGTTCTAACGTGGGCTATCTGCAACATGCATGAAGACCACATCACCAACATCGCCGGGATTCTCATTGTCAGAATATCACAAAGCAAAACCCAAAAGGGCGTCCCGAAAGCTACTCACGCGCGGTTGTGACTCGAAATATGTCGACTGGCTCCGCGACGGCCACTTTCGAAACACAGGCAAGGAGCAATGCAACATAGACGCTTCCCACGCCGAGAGCGCCCAAGACGAACACCAGATCGGAACACTTGACCGCAGCTGTGCCATACGCACAAGGGAACTGGCTGTAACTATCACCGCGGTGGAATTTCCAACTTCCGACTCTTTTATTGCGATTGTGAACCAGCTCCGGGTCATTTAAGTCTCCACTCCGGTTCTCGAGTCAGCATCGGCGTGTGCAACGTGACCGGGCCTAAGCACGCAGCCATTGACACGGCATCTTAAAGGCCGAAACGAGTCAACAGAAGCAGGCAGTCGCTCGATAGCTCGTTTCAGGGGCTTCGTCTTGTGAAGGTGGAGTGACATATTGCTAAATACTAAGCAAACAGTATATCGAATCGTGTCTTTAGCTGATGAAGACATTCTCTGACGGGCTGACGGCGCATGGATGGGAGGAGAGCCAGTTCTCGACGCCTTCGACGTCTTTCTTCCGAGAAATTAATGAAACATATCAGCCGATCAATGCTCAGTACATTACTACTGACTTATCAGCATTGAATGATTATAGAAACACTCACCATTGTCCTCTGAATTGCCCAAAAGCTCGTCGAGCAGGTTAGAGCGACTCTCTATATGCTCATCCCAGAAGGCACTGGTTAAAGGGCTTGGCATCACTGCACTGTCAATCAATCCGATCAAGTATTCATTTGAGGCCCAACGTTAAGTTGAGGCCCAAGGAGGAATGATGCACAAAAGTGGCCGAACTTGGAGTGAACTAGGAAACTTGAATCTGACCTCCGCAAGCATCAGGAGACGTCATGCATCGAATGTTTTCTAGGTCTCAATTACTGTTTCCAGATTGATTGACGAGTCCAGCTTCTCTTGTAAACAGAGGATATTGTTCGCATGTGCTGGCAGGGATTCATTCCGAGGCTGGTGTGCGACGATTTCGTCATCTGGTCTTGGTGTTGGTGAAGCTGAAGGCATTGTGTAAGTGAGAATGAACAGATCCATTTTGTACGACAATGCTGGCTGCCCCTCCCTTCGGAATTGAAAGCGCATGTTTGGGCTTAGCCTGGCCAGGTTTCCTTGCAACATTGATCTCGAATTGGATGCGATTAGTCTCGCAGCATCTATGAGGTAGGACGTAAGGGATGAATGTGACCGTTTTCCTGTAAGGGGTGACATGCTGGTGACTACACCTGTCTGCTCTTGGCATTCCAGAAAGAAGTTCTCCCGGCAAAACTCAATAAAGAGCAATGATTTTGCTGCTTCGCTCATCTGAAATTCATTGAAGGACTATCCGGCTCCGAATTCCGCAATATCCGAGCGGCCTGATTTAGCTTCCGCTTGGGGCTGAACTATTGATGTGACGGCGGTGGGATCTACGACAGCGACAACTAAGCTAACCATATATGTTCATTGAGACAAACGCGATAAGTTACCAACAACGCGTCTGTTCTAATCATGAAAGGGGTGAGTCACAACCCTTGGGCGATACTCTGGAACGCAGCGCTGGCATACAAGGGATGAACACTCCCTCGGAGGAAATCTCTCAAAACCTCACCCGAAGCCTTTTCTCTTTCCCCATGGGGATCCTTTCTAAAGGCCGCTTGAATCGCAAGTCTACACACAATAACCACATCATGGGCATTATCGGAGGGTACCCGAAACGGCGCTTCGGCCGCTTCGGCCGCTTCGCCAATGCAGCTGCAGTGGGCGTCTTTTTCCTATTCTTGTGGATATTCCGTGAGCAGCTGGGCCTCGATCGTGTCGGCATGGATTCGAGCATGGTGCCATGGATTCCGCGATTAGCCCATCAGGACATCTTTGACTTCGAGCCGGTCAATTCAGACGTCATCCGGGGGGTTTGCGACAGGACAGAGTGGGATGCAGGGAAGGCGATGCAAGTTGTGTTCACATGCGACAACAATGTCGGTGGGATTGGAAACATCCGTAACTCGATCTTGAACTGTGTGCGATACACGATGCTGGCTGGAGGCTCATTGGTCATGCCGCGCATCTTCAAGCGCAACGACTCGGACATCTCTCACATCCGGACGGGGCGCCGGCAGGAGATGGAGTACCTCTTCGACAGGCAACACTTCATCGACTCGCTGCACCTCTCGTGCCCACAGTTGCGCCTCTACAACGACACCGACGAGGTCTACGAATCCCTTGGACCAGCGCGAACATGGTCTCTCGGCCTCTTCCCAGAATCCCTCGTCGATGAGGAGCACATCGCCAGCACGGGCATCGAGCGCCCGCAAAAGTGGCGGTCGCAACTATACCGGTGGCTGGAAGACATCAACAACACCACCGACGCCGCGCCGACCGGACGCCTCACAGAGGGCCCGATGATGGTGGACCTCGGCCGGTCGTACCTCACGTACCCGATCCACAGCGACGGCGAGGTCTTCGCAAACACCTTTGGCACCATCCTGGAGTTCCGCGCGGATGTCCGGCAGCTCGCGAGCGCTACGATCCTCAGCATCAACAAACGTTTCTTCGGCGCGCACTTGCGCACCGAGAAGGATGCTCTAGACAACTGGAATCCAGCGGACCCGACGTGGGAGTGGTCCGAGTACAGCAAGCAGACGAACGCGTTCTTTGACCAGGCGAGTCGGGCGGGTCTATCAGTCATGTACGTCGCGTCTGGAAATGAGACACAGGTGGCAATGCTCGAGGAAGACGCTGTGCCGCGCGGGGTGCGGGTCGTGACGAAGCAGGACCTGCTGACGGGGAAGAACCGCAAGAGGCTAGATGCGTTGACGTGGGACCAGAAAGGAATGATTGACTTTCTGGTCATGTTGGGAGCGGCGCAATTTGGAGGCGTGGGACATTCGAGTTTTGCATGGAATGTCGCACTGAAGAGGCATCTCTTTTCCAAGGAGATTCCCAAGGAGAAGGACTCGTTCTTGAAGGGGCCTCAGATGCTCAGTGACGATATGAGTCAGATTTATGGCGTGCCAGGGAAATATCCCGAGTATGCGTCTTGTTTGTGGCCATGATATTTTTGCAGGTAAGGTGTTAGTCGAAAGGAAATGACCATTTACTGTTCACCCTTGAATGAAGCTGTATTCTCACATTACCTAAGCGCCTGCATGTCCACAAACAGGAGGCCAGGGGGAGACGTTTTGATCATCATCCTGGAGGCTTACTAAGCTACAGGATGCGCGGGGTTGCTTAAGTGAACAAGCACTCTCTCCCGATCACTCTTTTACATCACTCATCACCCGAATGCCAAGACGAATGCCAAGATGGAGACTATTCCAGACCCCAAAGATCTCCCACCGGACCCACGCCTTCCGGGCCAACAGCCTCGATATTCCCGCGACAACATCATCGCCTTTCTTGCGACTTTCTACCAAAGTCTGCCGCACATCGACCCCTCTCTAGTTCGTCGCGCGCCGTCGGGGGGTTGGCCAGAGATTACCCCTGAGTCGCTCGCGGCCTCGGGAATGAGACATCTGAACGAGCGAGTGGTAGACTTAATCAAGCATCTACCCTACATTGATGGCAACCCCCTTTGGATCACTCCGGAAACGTTTCCCATCAACTACCTTACCGCCGTGTCTTTGATACCAGCCGTTGGAGTGTTCAAGCCCAAATGGCTGCATGCTCTGTCCCATGACCTTCAATCCTTTGAAAGTTTCCCAGCTTGGGTGATTCCCCTCACTATGAGTGTCAACAGGGACGGCGACATATGGATACTTGACACAATGGATGGCACAGTGACTAAGTATATCATCACGGGCGCTGTTTACCCCGAACCGGCAGGGAGATATGAAAAGGACGACCCTAGGATGTGGAGAGAGACATTGTGTGATGATATTACTCTTCCACTGGAGGCGTGGCTAGAAGGAATCATCGACAAGTACAAGACATTTCAGTACTTTGGCCTTCCCCGTCATGACCACCCAGGTGTCTTGTCGCAAGGACACTGGGCCGAAGAAACAAGAGTAAGCTGCCGCGCACCTAGTTTTGATTGGACCCACTAACTTTTCACCAAGGCACTCCAAGAGATCATGGTCCAATACGGATGGCCGCAAGACTACAAAGGCGATGAGGGCCGCAGGAAACTAGCAGAATGGTTGAAAAAGGCAAGCATCTAGTGTAAGGGCCAATCAAGCGGCGCAGGCGCGTCACAAGCAGAGTTACAAACATCATCAAAGTTTGTGAATTTGTCTTAGAATCTACAGTCAAGATCTGAACATATCAGATGCCTGTATACATAGGAATATCAGAGTCAAACGACCGCCCAGGTTGGCTCGGAGGAAGGGCTTGGACGACGCTGTGTTCATGGACAGGCGTTGGCTCAGGTGCCGGCGCTTCAGCGGGCGAATTGGCCGCCTGCTCGGCCTTGTCCCTGAACGTTCTAGCGACATCCTTTAGCTTCTCAATCTCTCGTGAGCAACTACTATCTGTGCATTCATCGAAGCCAAGGTGATCGCGCAGCTCCTCTGGAGTTGCCACCCTGGTAGAGTTAACGCCCTCCACCACTAAGCCTGCTGGCTCAACCCAACGCTTTTGTGCCGGACCATTGGGCCAGGTAGCTCTCAGCGCTGCCTCTGCGGCGTGCGTATCAAAGTAGTCATCCTCGTTGAGGAGAGCGTAGCCAGGGTGCTTCACTCCGTTGATCGTTGGCACACAGATGTTGTTCGCGATACCGTAATCGTTAGAGTCATCAGGGAGACCATCAAAGTCTAGCTCCCAAACGAGACGTGAAAGTGCCACCTTTGTCAGATGCCACTCAATGGGCACTCGGGCATCTGGATTGATGACGGTGACGGTTTGATGCATATCACTGGCCACAGGCGGCTGACGGCACTTGTCGAAGATCTTTCCGGCTTCCCGGTTGTCGACCAGATCGAGATAGCGAACCATCTGTCCATCTACCGAGGGTGGCTTCGCACTGAGCAATCTGCGTACCTCTGTATCACCATCCTTGATCATGGAGGTGAGCAAGCTGTACCCATCGTTCACAGGTGCCATGACCGCTGGCGGGTATTCGTCTGGGGAGCATCCGTTAGGCGCATTGATGACGGGATCCCAGAGGGCTGTCGACCGCTGTTGGTTGAAGACTCCTGTGATTGGGCGTTTCTTGTCGTCGATCTTGCGGTAAGGGCAGGTGATGGTCTTGTACTGGGGGTAATTGTCCACAATGGACTTGTAGTTCTTGCAAGCCTCCGGATAGACGCCCCCATTACCATTGCAAGGAATCTTGTAGCCGTTGCCTGGAAGCTTGCTCGTCGAGACTACAATTTCACTGGTTCGATGAGATGTCATGTAACGCTTTTGTCTCTTGCAGGGTCTCCCATCATCCGCACGTTTCGCGTTTGAAGGACACGAAGAGGTCTTTGCCGGTGACTGTTGAATATTAGCATTTGGCTGCGTGTGAGAACCAAAAGAAAGATGGTGAAAGAAACATACATGAGTAGACTTTGGCGGTCGTGACACTGTCTTGGATGGCTTGTTGAACGAAACGGAGTGTTCCTTGCCGAAAACCTTGAATACCGCTTTGCCTTCTTTCTCAATGCCATCGGTACAAAGTTGAATCAGGGCTGGAGTCGCGGCGATCTCAGCAATATCCAGAATTTCGCCTAGATCCACTCAGGTTAAAATGCGAAATGCAGGGGCGAAATGAAAGAGTCATGGAAGTCGTGGAACATACCAATGATCGGGATCGCAGCCTCAATCAACTCCAAGGGTGCTAAGAGAGCAGGAATAGCGAGTCGACAGAAAGCCTTGGCTGCAATGTCGAGAGCTGCTTGTTCAGCCGCTTCTTCGGCCAACTCCTCGGCCTTTTCTTTGGCTTCCTCCTCTAGCTCTTCTTTCGTTGGAGCTGATTCAAAGCCCTTGCAGCAGTAACTCTGAATACCACCAGTGCACGTCTGGTCGCCATTCTTGCTGTGGTTGTTCGTATCCTGGAGGACCTCGGTCTCTTCATCATCACAGCCACCCATGCATGACAGACCTAAACCGCGATAGCCGCGCCACTTGCAAGTGCCCATAGTCGTGCCGTCATCGCAACAGAGCGTGCGATACTTATTTTTGTCGCAGCGATCACTGGTTGAGAGCATTCCGGGCTGCCCATTCATCTGGGTGACCGGATTAGTGCCCTTCTTGCAGCTCGCTCCGCAATCTGTCGTGTAACATGACACTCCGGCGACCAGTCCTTGAGCCATTTCCTGGGCGTCTTCTTGCTGACCAGTGGTGACACCGGAAGCGGGAGCCAATCCATTGTCTTCTCCCTGGTCCCTTTGATCCATGGCCCAGACCTAATTCACTGAGTTAGCTTGGCAATTACTTTAGGCAGAATATAAGTATTACTTACCATTGTGCCTCCCAAGCAGCGGGAGTTGGCAAACTTGCGCTTCTGTTCAAAGGTGTCGTCGTCGTCGTACGAGACCCACTGGTTGTCATCCCAGGTAATCCATTTCACCATGGCGTCCTTGTCCCATACGGGCTTTACGCCGTTGTAGTCAATGACTCCATTGATCTCTTGCAGGGTCAAGATGCCCGATGCATTCGAACATTGCCCTGCCAAGGCACCACCAGAGAATTGGCACACGCCGTTGGGCTTATTGCAAGAGGGATCAGAAAGCGTGAAGCTGCGTCCGTACCACCCGAGGCCAAGTATGACCTTGGCAGGCTTCACGCCAGCTCTCCATAGGAGATCGAGGCCCATATCGATCTCAGTAACATTAGTATGAGGTGCAAGGTAAGGTCCGACGAACTTGGACGCAGCGTCCCAAGTTCCGTGCACTTCCAAGTTATGTTAGTCCAAGGTTGAGTAATATTGTGTTGGAGATTGAGTGAGACTCACAGTCATAAGCCATGAAGTTGAACCAATCGACATCTGCTGCAATAGATGCAAGATCAAAGTGCTGAAGATACCAGTATGACGTCGGCAGCGTCATTGAAATTCCGTAGCGTGAGCCTGGCAGAGGTCAGTCGAGCCGAAATGCCATTAAACTAGATAGGAATCGCACCAAAAGCAGCCCTGAGCTCTTTCGTAAGAAGAGCGTAGTTCTTCTTGTCTGCTGTGACGCCGCCTCTGTCGTCGGCTTGAGGGTACTCCCAGTCAAGATCAACACCGTCGAAACCATACTGCAAGTTCATAGATATCAGTCTTAGGAAACAATCCCTCCAATGACGCTATTCAGACTGGACTGTTGATGGTATCTTACGTGCTCCATGAAGTCAATCAGGCCAGAGATGAACTTCTGCCTGTTACCAGATGTGCTCGTCATGTCGCTGAAGGCTGTCCTGGTAGCTCCGGGGTCGGTGAATGACCATCCACCAACAGAGATCCAGGCCTCTAATCCGGCGTTGTTCTTCTTCAGTGCTGTGAATCGGCTGTAAAGCTTGCCAGTCTCGGTGTCCATGGGAGCAATCTGGAAAGTCTGTGGATCAAAGAATGCAAAAGCAAAGTTGATGTGAGAGAATCCGTTGAGGTTGAGGTCCTCCGGCGAAACTGCTTGGCAACTGCGAGTGTTGGACCATCCCTCATAGTAACCAATTGTGCGCTTAGAGACAGAATTGCCTGAACAGGATGGTCTTGTGACATTTCCACAACCGCCGAAATCCTTTTGGCAGCCTTTACCGCAGAAATCACTTGTAGAACCACAGAACCTGGTTTATTGATCAGAGAATGCATGCTTGATATGGGGTAGTAAAGGTTCATCAATTCTATCACTTACCCAAACTCAGAACAGCAGACACTCAAGGGGCATTCCTGAGAGCCTTCTTTGCCGTATTGTCCACATTGAGCTTTGGCATCACAATTTGATGTGCAATTGCCCTTGCCACACTCTGTTGGAGAGTAGCCGCAAAGCCCATTGGTACCACAGCAAGCCGCATTCTCACATGGAGTGTCTGCATTGCATGTGCCAGTCGGAAGGGCTCGTCCGGTAAGAAGGTGTTCAAGAGAAGGAATTGAATAAGGAGTGATAGGCGCGACGTGATTGTTAGAGTCTAAAGGAACGGCTGAGATGAGGAAAGGAATGGCTGCCATAAAGGCGTAAAGAAGAGTGAGTGGAAACATCCCCGTGGCCTTGAACGACTCTTTGGAGTCTGGAATGATGGGTGACTTCGAAGCGAACCAGTTTCTAGAGCAGAACGGCAGCTCCCAAGACACAAATATTGCAATCGTGTTAACCCAAACTCAGCTCTTGACAGTCGAGAAGCGGCGTGTTGTTCATCAACAGGCAACAACAGCGTGCTCGCTTGCTGGCTCCTGATCCACCCCGGGCTGCAGGGGTTATGGTCGCATTTCGACTCGGGCCATTTGATGCAGCGTGAGATTAAGCTGATGCTATGGGTACATGAAGCGCCGAATACCGCCCATTTCAGATAGATTTATGGATTGCAGGTTGCTAAAAGCTCACCCTTGAACACCCTCAACATGTCGATCCAGGCTCTGGTGATCTGACTGTCTCGGCGGCTTCGACCGGCTTGGCAGGAATCCCTCGTCAGCCTGACTTGAGTTGGTATCAAATGACCCTCTTTTGACTGAATTATCATCTCACCTGCTTCCGAAGCCATCCCAAATTCAAGACCAACGGCCGCAGGGAGTAAGCAGGTTGGTTGCATAGAGTTGGCGATGTGACCCTTCAAGCCTTGTTGGGCGGAGAATGTCATCTAACCCCCGGCCCCTGTCATAAAAAAGCTTACCTGGACTTGGCTACTCTTGGCCGTTCTTGGCTCCCCTCGGCACGAAAATGCCGCTGACATGAACCACTTTTTGAGTCCAGATGACTGCTGTGCCGTAGGCTACTGAACGGCATCGGGCCGCTGTGCTTACTTGGAGGCAAGAAAGATTGAGACAACTCCTTTTCCTTGCAGTTTGGACTAGCAGGCAGACCTATCAAAACGCGTCGCAGCTCGCGTAAAGGAAGAAAGATGCGATTGCCGACTCAGTTGCGGGACATCCGACTCCGGCAAGGATTTCAACCCTGCAGAATGAGGTCCCGTTGCGTGCAGTTCTTCAATCTCCTCGGCTTCAATATCACACGGCCAGGGTAGAGCGTTCCTTGCAGGCCCCATACTTAGAAGCCGCAGCCTGCAGCCTAATGCAACTTCCCTTAGCACTTTGGTACCACTGCTGTCAGACCAATTTCCGGTCTACTAGTGCCAAATCTGATGCCGACAACATCAATGAGAGACTCGTACTAGCTGATCATCTGTCGGTGTCTTTCTCTTCCAGTCAATTGTGAATGAGTCCAAGGTCCATATACCGAAGGTTTCGCACATGAGATGAGCCGCAGCACCAATCCCGTGTCTGTCCATTCCTTACCAGAACAGAGCCCGCCTCTCTGAGCAATTTACTTCATCATGGAGAGGCACTCATTGTGGCTTCTGTTCGTTGCACTTAGTTTTCTGCAAACATGTCACTCTTTCAACCTTTACCCAGCTATCAACGGCGATAAGCTCGCCAAGTCACTGAACGTCACATCAGACTGCATCGCAGCGCTGTAAGTACTTACGTTGCACCCGAGACCTCTTATAGATGCATCAGCTCATAAGTGAGATAGGAATCAAACTATTCCAGAATGCGATCAGACGTTACTACAGATGACGATGAACGTAGAGAACTACTGGTGGACCGATGACAACCTCACGGCTGTCTGCGACTCAGGCTGTGCTGAAGCCGTTGGATCGTGGAACTACAATGTCTCTGATCCTTGCTTCGAGCAGTCTTTCACTGCATATGGAAAGCTTGTGCCCATATGGACAGTCACTGAGCGAGTTGTTGACAATCTCATCTTTGCCTGTTTGCCGTCTCGGTTAGTCTCATTGCCTGAAGCCATCTCTGGAAGATCATGCTGATTGTTTAAAGGTCCGACAACTACACATACTGTCTCACAGAATCTCAGGAGTGGGTTGGAGCCGATGTGTTGCGGGTCGACTGTGATGCCAATCCCTCAGATCCAACTTGCGGCGGCAACTCCACGGACATCCCCGAGGCGAATGTTCGCCTAGCCAACCTGTACGAAGACGATGTTGTGAGTTGGACTTCTATGAAGTCATCGTACGCCTCACTGACATGACATCAAGTTATGCAATGACTGTTTTATAAATCAGCTTTACACTCGCATCTCGTCCATCTTCGTGCCGGATACCGACTACTCAGACTATCTTGCAGATCAGATTTTTGATATCTCAGACGTTTGCAACAAAACTATTCCCGACTTCACTGTTGCACTGCCTTGGGATTATCAGACTGCATCGACCCTGTCTTCCGTAAACGTGGGATCTTCAACGAGTGTCGTGGCCACTGCCACCTCCACTGTCGCTGCCACGACCACATGTGTTGGTCAAACTCTTGGCTCTGCCGCTGCGGCAAAGAGAGATAATGCTTTGGACTGGATCAAGAGGTCCACGCCTGGGTTGGAGCCTAGGCAGGCATCGTCATGCGATGACTTATCGTCTCAGTATGGCGTCAGCACTGGCGCACTTCAGTGGTTCACCAACAGTGAAACCTGCGCTGTCTCAGGCTCGGTGTGTCTTCCTCAGCGGTGCACATTACAGAAAGTTGGAAGCAACGAGACGTGGTGAGTATCACGAACCAATCTTTTCCATTCTCTGCCACTTTTAGAGCTAATGATCATCCTCAAAGTGCGAGTATTGCGGCATCCATCGGCGGTGACACTACTATCGTCCAGTTTAAGAAGTGGAATACGTACATCCTTGGACTTTGTGACAGTCTTACAGAAGGCCAATGGGTATGCATGAGGTAGGGAGGATTTTGATCTACTTTATAACAATCGCGAAGTGGACTGACCAATATTCCTGGATAGTTCCCCTGGCGTCAACGCTACATACACGTTGCCTGCGCCACCCTTAGGCACAGAGGCCAATGCCGGAAATCAACAACGAGGAGGCGCTGGTGGCATCGTATCGGCCACGACGACCGCGACAGACATTGTCAACCCTGTGTCAGGAGGAACAGCCCCTAGCCCAACCCAAGACGGGCTTGTCACCAATGTAAGACGAACCGTTGATGATATTCAACATGAAGATGCGAGACTAACTCTGAGATTTCCAGTGCAATAACTACGCAAGTGCTACTGCTGGAGACGGATGCGAGGCGTTTGCCACGCGCAACTCGATTGCGCCAACACAGCTCTATGCATGGAACCCAGTCCTTGGCACTGCTGGTTCCGAATGCTCAACCGCTCTGTGGGCTAGTGAGTATTACTGCATCGGCACGTGGAAGCCGACCCAGACTTCTGCCGTAACCGCGCCAGGTCCAACCCAGACTGGAATCACGTCTAGCTGCAACAAGTACGCAGAGGCTATCTCCGGTGACGTCTGTACCGTCTTTGCCACTCGAAACAACATTACCACCGCTCAGCTGTACGCTTGGAATAGCGTGCTGGGAGCCAACGGAGAGAACTGCGCTGGCTCCATGTGGGCGAACGAGTACTACTGTGTTGGTGTCTCTGGATCATCATCCGCAGCGACCACGACACAGGCGACGACTGCCACGGCTGCAGTCTCGACGACTGCTACTCAAGTCACAGCTCCTGGTCCGACTCAGACCGGCATCGTCTCGAGCTGTTCCAAGTTTGCCAAGGCTCCGTCCGGAGTAGTCTGCGGCGACTTTGCGAGCAGCAATAGTATTTCAACCGATCAGTTGTATGCATGGAACACAGTTCTCGGTTCCAATGGAGAGAACTGTGCGTCTTCAATGTGGGCCAACGAGTACTACTGCGTCGGCATCACTGTGGCCGCCCCTGGCCCGACGCAAGATGGCATCAACTCTAACTGCGCTCGATACGCCGAAGCACCTTCGGGAGCGACCTGCACCACGTTCTCAAGCGCTAATGGAGTTACTTTGGCTCAATTGTATGCTTGGAATCCGGTCTTGGGAACAAATGGGGAGAATTGCGCCACGAAGATGTGGGCTCAGGAGTATTATTGTATTAGTGTTACTAAGTAGAACGTCGTTCGTCCTATTCAGTGAATCCAAAGCTGAGAGAACTAGTCTTGGGGTTACATTGAATACCGGACCTGAAATCCTATTAAAGCTGATGTGATAACGATAAATGGAGAGGAAGCTCAAGCGAATGTAGCTCATGGTACTGCAGTACATTAATGACTGTGCTTATTGTTTGGAAGTAATGACAATGGTCGTACAAGAAAAAAGAATGAGTACCAACGCACTAAAATACCATTCATGGCTGTATTGTTACTTATTCACATAGCCCGATGTCTTTTTTGCCTTTTCTTTGTCTATTCTTATTGATCAGACCTTCCCATTCTCCGAAAATCTCCCACCATGTTCGAGCTTCTGGATTCTTCATCTTACTACCCCACATCTCATGAGGTAGTCTCTCCGACCTCTGAAAAGACATTTCATGTCAGCCCGTAGAGTATACCACAAAGAAGAAGTTCACACAATGATTAATGATCTTTGCCGGTTCACGTCCAATCTGGGGCTTTTGGATTTGGTACGTCGGAGGATGTCAAATACTAAGTCACCGACTACCTTACTCAGAGCACTTGCAGATGGGACACACACTCACAAAGGTAAGTTTAAGATAGCGAAAGTAGATAAAGCCTCACTTTTTATGTCATGCAAGCTCAGAAGAATCATTGGTCCACATGTCATCGCATTCTTGGCCTGCATCTGCAGTTGGTTGGTGGCGACAGGTGTAAGCGCCTACACGTACCTTCCAACAAAAGACGTGCATTCTCGGCCCGGTGAAAGGCCAGACATCTTCCCAGCATCAGGCATCAATGGCGCAGCAGGTCGCATATCCTCAGCCAAAATAACGGGCACGCCAAGATCCATAGGTGTAGTCTTGCAGCAAAGCCCCCAATGCTAAGTCGTACTAACTTTCAAAGAAAGTGTGGCCTGACAATTTTCTTTTTAACCACCACACATTCCAAAGCTGCAGGAGGCCAACCATTTGTTGCAAGTTGCAGCAACCTGTGTCTCAGCACGCGATGAGACTACAAATTTGCAAAAAGGCCTCGATTTTTGGAGTGGAATTTCTCCCACTTTGCCTACTATACCTAACGACCAACCTCTCTTAC